CCATGGAGGAAATCCGGGCCACCAGACACTCGCTGTCTCTGGCTCCAGAGAGATGCCCGGGTCTTCCACTTCTGGGCAAGGTGTCTTTGTTCCCCTTCTGCGTCTTCATGGAGGTTTGTAAATCGCTCTTTGTCTGAACCCTCAAGTTGTCTTGGGAGACCCTACCAGGGTGCCCCCGACGACACAGCTCCCAGGTTCATTGGGACACGCAAACCCCTCCACCACGATAGGGTGGCGATACATGGGGGCCTCCTGGTCGCCTCCCTCGGGAGGTCTTCTGGGCACGTCCAAGTGGGAGAAGATCCAGGGGTAGACCCAGAGCTTGCTGGAGGGATTAGGTTATAACTTCTGGCCTGGCAACACCTTGGGATCGCTCAGGGGCAACTTGCTTAGCCTGCTGCCACCACGACCCGGCTAAGCTGATATGCGAAAGATAATGAAGGAAAACAAGCAATTTGAAGGCAGAAGCATTTAAAGATGGGATTAACATCTCTTCTTTTTTCATCTTTCTTCATTTTTTTGTCATCTAAAAGTTAAGCAATTAGAAAAATATATTAACTTGTGCACAAAGATATTAACTTGTGCTCACAAGATTGTTTTATTATCTACTTCTATCTTCTTGTAAACTGTTGAACAATGAACTAAGTATTTCTAAGATAATTTAAAGAGAAATTTAGCTATTGGTCCACACTCCAACCATCTGGGACAATATTTGGCTTATCAAATACTACAACTAAAATAGCCTATGTGAATCACTTAAACCCTGTAATTATCAACCAAAAATACAGTCTTGTTCTCAGTTTGAACTTCAGTCATGCATGTCAAACCAGTTTCACCACCCTGTAGGTGAATGAATTAAAACCAAAGAGGTCCATGTGATCTTTCAAGTTAAATTCAAACACATACTAATATATTTTATATTATTATTTTATATATTTTAAAATATATTTTCTTTACAGGGAGATTAAACAGGATTATTATAAGACTTTTACATATTAAAGTCTATATTTTCTATTACCGTACATTTTCCCCCATGTTTTTAACAAGGAACTGGAGATATTTCTTTATCAAATGAATGACACACCCTAAGCTTTATTATGAAGAAAAATTACAGGAAGTTCATGAATCCTCCTATATATAACTGTATGCAGCTTGATGAAGCTCTTTAAAAACCCCACCCTGAAAAATGTGAGGTGTTCTGCCCAGACATCTCTCTCCCTCCATGCTGCACTGGTCAGGTGGTGTCGGCCTACTGAGGCAGGACTGCCCCCTCACCTCCTGGGACCACTGTGGACAGAAGACACCGCAAATCATCCTTTAAACAAACACCTTTTAAAAAACATGCTTGATTACTTTCATATTCAAAACTGAAGAGCTATTTTATAAGGCAAGCAATCAACATTCTAACAACTAAGTCTTCTTTGGGTACAACATTTTCCATACATTTAACCTTTTGCATTATTTCCATGAGTGTCTCTGCAGCATTGGTGTGCACTCCTGTCTTTTAACCTTGGATGGTTATATTTGTAGAATTTTAATGAAAAAATTCACTGTTGTTATTAACAACATATTTTACTCTCTATATGGGCAATAAAGAAATGGGACTTGGATGTTTTCATAGTATGGGAGACCATGGATTGGTTGTAACACAGTTTGCTTCAGCAGCTGTAACTCGCAGAATTTTTTATCTAGAGTTTACAAACTTTGGAACAAACAAAAAAACAAATGGAGCAAATTCAAACCTCTGCAAGAACATCATAGACCTCATAAATTGATGTCAAATACACAGTGTTCCTTTGTTACAACCTACCCCACTATCGGGATTCAGGATAGGTTGAAACACATGCTGGGTTGTGGTAAGTATAGAAAATTCCACACTATGCTATACTTTAAATACTTTTTTACATTTTAATCCCATATAATCCTGCATATGCACTTGTTAAATTTTCCAGATCTGGTTGTTCACACATGAACTTCACAGCATGAGACTATCATTGTCAAATGGGAGAGGGGACAGGGGTCTCCAAAGGCAAGACATGACGTAAAAAGAATGATGCAGAAGTGGCAGACAAAGCATCAGACTTCCCATATGATGCTATGATGATGCATGTAGTTCAACAGAATCACTGCATTCACAAACTGGGGAACAGAAAACATAATGCAGCAGTTCAATTACATTTACGTGGACTGCACCGGCCGTGTGCATACAATCTATGGTTGTACACGGATTTCAGGGAATAAATATCAGTAACCCTCCTACTCTGCTCGGGGCTAATTCTCCTGATTACGTCCTTCTCCGTTCACACATCAGGTCACCCAGACTTTCTGCAGAAAAAATACTAGGGTGCTGGCAGGAGAAAATATAGATAAAGACAGAGTGAAAAATTCAGCTGTTTGTGTTCACACATGAAGCTCCAATAAGTCTATAAGTCAAATGATTTTATCTGCAATAGTACGAAACAAAATAATGTCTCGGTCAAAAAATTAACTTTGCTACTTTGGAATAAATTTTTGGTAGAATCCTCATTCACCTTTCTAGCCCTGAAAACCCCCATGGGGGATATGAATTGAATGAATTGAAAAATATGAGTTTTATATGGACAATGTATAATTTCTGTGTTTTATGGTTACGCTGCAAGGTATTCAGACGGACTATATATCAGCGTTAGTGCTGTGACTGTTTGGCCCACTCCCACCAGCTCTAAGCTGGTTCAGATAATTATGGGGTTCACTAATTATTATAAACATTTCATACATTACTTTAGCCATATAGCTGCCCCCCTTTATGCTCTAACCTAACCCCATGTCAAGATTCAGTGGACTTGAAGCCGACACAGCCTTTAAGAAGCTCAAGGAGAGCTTCTCCTCAGCCCCCATCCTCACCCTACCTGACCCCTACTTTCAGTTTGTTTTGGAGTTGACCCCTTTGACTCTGGGATAGGGGCAGTTCTGTCTCAACGCTCCAAAGACAACAAGCTCCATCCCTGCGCCTTCCTCTCCACAAAGCTGTCCTGCCTAAATAAATGATGACGTGAGTGACAAAGAGCTTCTGGCTGTTAAGATGGCGTTGGAATAGTGGTGGCACTTGCTGGAAGTGTTTCCTAGTTTCAACAGACCACAAGAACCTTGAGCACATCAGATCAGCCAAAAGTCTGAATTTAGGCAAGCCAGGTGGGCCCTGTTCTAGCGCTAACTTTGTTTTCACCTAACGTCCAGGATCTAGAAATATTAAGCTTGATGCCCTCTCTCGTCTGTTTGACTCTAACCCTGCTCCTGAGTCTCCCTCTACTATCCTGCCATCCTCCAGCATTATCTAGGCTTACACTTGGGAGGTGGAGAGGAGGATAATTAATGCCAACCGGGACCTGCAGGCTGCCCCTGGTTGGCCCCAAACTGTTGTGCCTTTCAGTATCGGCTCTCCGGTCATCCACTGTGCCTACACTGCTCGCATGGCCTATCACCCTTGAGTTCGCCTAAGGCTGTTCATCGCTCAGCAAGACTTCTGGTGGATGGCTATGAAAGATTATGTAGCTGCCTACAGTGTATGTGCCTGATGCAAGTCCTCATGCCAGCCAGCCTCCAGTGTCCAGCTTCCACTACCTGTTCCCCAGCACCACTGGTCAGAGATCTCCCTGTACTTTATCACAGTGTTGCCCCCTCTAAAGGTAACACCAACAAAATGGTTCACTTCAGACCTCTGACCAAGTTTGGCCGAGGTCATGTTCTCTCACGTGTTGTGTCTCCAAGGATTCCCCAGAGATTTGGAGTCTGACTGGGCCCCAGTTTGTCTCCACATTTTGGAAGGAGTTCTGCACATTGCTGGGGGTCAGTCTGTCATGCATCAGAAAAACATTTAATTTATAAGATTAAAAAAATATAACTGACTATAACCTCACTATAGCTAATCACGATTGAAGTATTTATGATTTAGTTATGATCATTAATCAACAGCAATACAAACTGACTTTGACCAATCAATCCCTCTAGGTTCTTTGAGTAGTTGCCCCAAAGCTTTCAGCTTTATCACATCATCCATATTTATGTTTTACTTTGTATGAAATGTTATGATGTTAAAATATATATTTTTTTTACTGATGTATGAATGTACTGTGGTATTTTGTTGTATCAGAGCACTGTGAATATCCTTTTAGAACATATGAATATTAACGTTATCAATCAACGAATCACATTTTATTGGTATGGCACTTTTCATACAACAATGTAGCAGGAAGGAAGGAATATTATAGACTGACTGCAGCCTATAGAAACCGAATTTTAGCCGAAAGTTAAAAAGATTGAGTTTTTTTTTTTTTTTTTGGAAACTGCTCATTTATTTGCTTTGTTCCATATTGATTACATCATTGTTTGCGGATGGATTTTACTCAGACTGCAGCTCTTTAACGAACACATCACTCATGTATAGCCATTGTCTGCTCCTCATAGTTTTGTGTTTTTATCTCTCTGGAATAAATACTTTTGCTCAACATATTATTCTGGAAGCACAAACAGCTGCTGAGCACTGCACTTTCCCTCTACAGCATAACAATAGCAGCTCTGAATTGTCCTCGATGAGCAGCCAATGAGCTTGAAGCAGCAGCAGTGGCTCAGAGTCTAGCAGCACCTGGTCCCTGCCAGTTTCCAGCTGGACTCCCGTGGCTGCTGGAGAATTTTCTAATCCATCACCATTGTACCAATTGTCTATAAAAATTAATGTGCGTGTGAAGCGTTGCTTTCACATGAGAGCAACAAATCAAATTTTATGAAAGAGTGCAAACAAAAGAATGAATGACTCTGAAGATTTTAAGGTAACAACTTATCATCTAACCTTTCTAATTTGTTCCAGTTCCTGCTTTTAATATATATCTTTATTTTCTTTGTTGACCTGTTTGCTTCTTGATTTCTTGCAGTCTTTTATGAATATTAACATGACCATATCTTACCATACTTGTGATAGACTTATTGTGTGTTTTCCAGGAGGGGGTTCCTAGCAGGAGCAAAGACCAAATAGATGGCACAGGAATGAGTCTGAACAACAAAAAAGGAGTAAGGGTGACAGGGAAATATGCTCCTCCTGTGGACTGGAGCAGTAGAGCAGGAGGTCCATGTATCATCCACTCCCCACCCAGCACCGCTTTACCTCCAGACACCCCAACTGTGATCTCCATCGGCCACCTTCCTCACAAGCCATCAGAGAGGGTGGATGATCTAAGGATGGATGTACCTAAAGTTACAGAAGATTGGACCACAGAGACGGCATCTAAAAACAGGGTGTCTTATGGCGAGACTGGCCGAGTCCCTCGTCAGACCATGGAGGAGCTGAAGACCATCCTGAGGGAGAGTCCTCTGCTCAGCATCCGAGGTAGAGAAAATGGGATGCCTGGCAGTCCATACACGTACCTCCATGGTGGAAGACCCAATGGACGCAAGGATGATGGAAACCCCAACAGGGCGTTTAGCACCTTCAAACCCAACTATGAAGCTTCCGGAAAAGGGGGGCAAAGGTCCAGTGATAGCACATCTATTCTGCAACCTCCCAACATGGATTCATCCAGCTCGTTCAGGTTTGAGGCCAACACAAATAGACAGCCACGAGATACAACAAACACATATGCAACCAGCAGCTCCTGGGGAGAGAGTGGAGCTTCTCACACAGGTTAGTAAAGCTTTGGTTTGATCACAACATTTTACTTGATATAATTAATTAAATGCTTGAGTTCTTTAAGGACAAATCACTGGAAGATTTTGGGGTACAAGACTCTATCACTTAAGTCCTGCCTCTATCTTTCTTGTTTAAAAAATGTGGCTTCATTGTCAAACTTTCAATCAATGTTCTAAATGGATTTTGACTAAATGTTTGACTTAATGGACTTTAAAATTTAGCTGTTTTAATTTGTGATAATCTCTGAAAGGATTGGTTGGTATTAACTTGGCGTTGATATCCAGGAGAAGGATCTACAACTCTTTTCTATTATTTGTTTTAACGACAATGGGTTGCTTCCTGTTTGGAGTTTTTCAATGGGTTGTGTCTGCTCACAGTTTTGATATTTGAAGTAGATCTTAAGTTATTTGGAAGGTTAAAAATCTATAAGAAAAAATCTGGGCCATAATCTTTTTAACAATTTCAATACATACATTTGTATCTAATTATGACCGGGTTTTTTTTTTTTTGAGGCAAGTAATTTACAGTTGAAAAACCTTGTGTCGGTGCTCTCTCAACATAGTTTTTCTCAGTAGCCTACCTTACACCAAGTTTGGCATTTCTGTAATGCCATTTCACCTACATGTACACATATGTGAGGATTATTTCAGTCCAGCTTTACTCAGTGTTAACTTGAAATCAAAAAGAACTTGTGTGGAATATAACTGTGGTGTGTATAAAATGGTTTTGTATTCAATGGGGCTTTATTTTGAAATATGCTGCAGGGAAACCTGGGTTTAGGTTTTGTTCATTTTTTTCGTAAATGGAACACTTTCTCCACTTGGCCATATTACTTGTGCATTGTGCACACTCCTGAAAAGGTCTGGTCATCTTGTTTCTGAAAATGTCCAGATAGTTTTCTGATCTGAGGCAATTTATATTGGCAATTCAAGGTGGGACTTTTACACCCCTGTTATGTCCCATTATCAGTGTTAATGTCGTATGAGGTGTATTGATGGGGCAAAGTAATTCCGTTGTTGAGCTGGCATCAAAAATTTGGTGATGTAGGGTTGACAAATTGTCAATAGTTCAAATAATCCTGATAAACTTTAAAAGTAGCTAAAATATCTTAGTTTAGAAATTGTAAAATTGTCCATCACATAATATGATTGTCCCATTTCACAGATAAGTATTTAAAGCCCTTTTAGCTCTACTTGAGCGGGCTACACCCCAGTTTAAGTATGGCATTATGGATTGAATGTGCAATTGGGACTGGGCTTTAGTGTTTTAAGTCGTTCATTATTTCCCTCTCTTTCCAACAGATAACGAAAACGAGACTGTTGAGATCTTTGGGAATCAGAGTTTCATTTCAGCCATGGAGCAGATCAAGCAGCAGATTGCAAGAGAAAATATCAACTTCGTCAGGTTCGAGGCCACCGACCTCCACGGGGTGTCCAGGTCCAAGACAGTACCTGTCCGCTTCTTCCATGTAATCACTCTTTATATCTATCTATCTATCTATCTATCTATCTATCTATCTATCTATCTATCTATGCTCCAAACCATGAATGTGTAGATCGCTACCAATATTTCTGAAACAATTACTCCAACTGAACTGTAGCTGATGGTTACATTATGTTTCAAGAAATAAATAACACTACAAAACACCCTTTAAACACACAATGGTTATATTTGCCTATCTGTTTATGGATGATGAGAAAATATGATGTAATTTGATAATGTCCTACATTTAATGTAAGTTTTTGAACTTTGCATTAAGCAGGAATAACTGATTCCGCCCACACTCTAGCTATTCTAGGCTAAGGAAATCTCCATTATTTCCCAGTTTTTAAGACATAACTGTAATATCTCATCTAAATAAAATGTTGCATCCACAGGAGAAAGCAGTTTATGGGATACCAATGCCAAGAAGTTACTTGGAGCTGACCCTTAGCCCTAAGAGCAATGAAGTGGACCATGCAAACGCTGCAAACTTCAGCAGTGATGTCCTCCTGATCCCTGATTTAGCAACCTTCAGGGTCTTACCCTGGGCAGAGCAAACAGCCCGAGTCATCTGCGACCCCTGCACAGTGACAGGAAGCCCTCTTCGCACTTCCCCTCGCCTCATTGCTAAGCAGCTCCTTGGTCAGCTACAAAGCATGGGATTCTCACTGCACTCATCCTTTACATATGAATGCTGCGTCCTTGGGGCGCCGGATCGGATTGGACCAAAGACTCTCATGTTCCCAGCCACCACCCTTCTTAGCAACCATGACTTGCCGTTCTTCCAGCAGCTGGTGGACAGCATGTACTGCATGGGAGCAGACATAGACAGCATTGCCTCTGCAAGTGGTCCAGGCCAGATGGAGATCAACCTTAGGCCAGAGTTTGGGATTGCGGCTGCAGATAGCGCCTTCACCTTCCGCACTGGCATCAAAGAAATGGCTCGTAAACACAGTTACATTGCTAGCTTCTTTACTGATGATGGCCTGTACAATGCCGGCGTAATGTCTCACAGCTTGTGGGATGCCAACGGGCGACGCAGCCTCTTCCAGAGTGGGGAAAAAGCGGGCGAGCTGTCTGAGATTGGCAGAAAATGGCTGGCTGGGCTCCTCACCCACTCTGCTGCCCTGAGCTGCCTGATGTCACCTGGCCTGGGTTGCCGGAGCCACATTGCCAAGGCCATGAAAGACCCCAAACGCGTGCTGTGTGCAACATGCGGATGCAATGACAACAGCAGCTCCTTCAACATCAAGTGTCATGGCGGAAGGGAGACGCACATTGACAACAAGCTGGGCTCAGCCATGGCCAACCCTTACATTGTGCTGGCTGCTACTGTCGCCGCTGGACTGGACGGAATCAGACGAAACTTGTACGTGGACAGCAGTCCAAACAAAGCCCCCAGTCAGCAGAGGGAGTTCGCCATTCCCGTAAAGCTTGATGATGCTCTAGAGGCATTGGGGGACGATCATGTTATCCGCAGCGCACTTGGAGAGCCGTTTGTTCAGTATTTTATTGCCATGAAAAAGTTTGAGATTGAGACACAAGAACTAGATGATGAGAGGAACAAGTGCCTCGAGTATTTCATTTAGAAGTTTTCTCTTTTTGCATCACGAGAAACACGCCTCCTCCTGCCCAACACATTAAATCATGATAAGAGACAGCTTCATAAAAAACGTTTTATTTTATACATCATGTTGATCTTATTATTATTATACAAATTGTAGATATTTTCAATTATTTCAAATAAAGAAATTAGTACACCCTGAATGTGCAAAGCAGTGAGATGCAATTTTCTTGTGTTTATGTATATTTCTTTCATTTCTTTCAAGAACAAACAGTAGCTGTTGTTAATGGTTATCAATTATTTATTAATGTAATAAAAAGAGGTTGACTTAGGCACTGAGCAAGATTGACCAAGAAGAAAATAAAATCCAAATAATAATCAATCATGTGGCTCTCTTAAGTAAAGGAAAAAAGTTTCCGACCCTTTAACTTCTTTTTCTGACGTGTAGTAAATTTTACAACCTCTTGGGGCCGCTAGTGTCACTTCTGACATATTATCTTGCAGTCCAAAATACATCTTACCTATCTTCTCTGACTTCTCATCTGTACCTTTCTTCTCTTCACAAAAAAAGGTAAAGGTGTTAATATCAAGACATGTGTGTTCTATGAAAAGAAGTTGGTTCATTTAATAAGAGTTGTTTTGACAATGAATGCTTATTTTAACAGTATACATTCAAAAAGTGAACATTGTAGTTTTTTTACATTCACTTTTCCAACAATATATGGTTGCAAATATAGACTCAGTTGCAGCTTATATTTATTGGTAACTTTTGATAATTAACAGGCTTTACTGTGATTATTTTGAGAATGGACTAAGTCTTCAATGGTTTGGCTGTCTATGCTGTAAACTTAGTAATAATAAATGTTTCCCATTAGTTCAACAAATTTTGCCTCAAACATGACTGTCTTCAACAAGTCAAGACGCTATAGGAAACATACCTAACAATACATTAAAATAAAAGATAATGAAATAATAAAAGCTCTGTTCAGATTAAAAAAGAAAAAAATCATTAGAGAATGATTTATTTTATCTTTCTTTTTACTTACAAGCGTTTCTTGAATTTCTTAAAAAATCTTTCATTTAAGACAAAAATCAACAATCCATCTGTCAATGCATGAGCCCATTAGTTCCTAGTTAAGGTACACATTTTTAAAAGCAGGTCGGTTTAAATTTTCTAAAGGGCCAGGTATTTTCCAAATGCAGGTCACGGCCTATGTGTTTGGCAACTTAAAGAAACAGTGCATTCGTTGGGGACTATTTTCAGTGGGTATAAATCCACTTAGCAGGTGGTGACAATGGAGCTATATGGAATAGAGGAACATTATGGATGATTAATGAAAACAGATTACAAACAGATATGCTGGTAGGTTTCATGTACTGTTGGTTTTAGTCTTTCTATTGGATTTTGATGAGTGGACTAAATACAACTTTAACCTAATTCCAAAAAGAACAAACACATGTAAGTTATGCAAACATGTATTTTTGCCAACCATAATTATAATAAAACGAACTATGTTTTCATTCATATCTGCAAGTGCTCTTTGCAACGTAGACTCTGCTTCAAATGTACAATATGTAAGATTTGATTAGAATTCTACACTAAAATATCTGAATTAGTTAAAAAAGGACTAAACCTATGTTATATATTTTTGTTGTGCATTTACATTAGCTCAAATATTTTCAAAATCTATCAAATCCAGATAAATCCATAATTTTACAGTTGTAACGGGACGCCTGTTGTTGTGGCGGCCGCCATGACAGACATGACAGTTTATCATTGCTGTGGAAACACTGGATGTTACTTCAACTGTTACTAAAAGCTGCTGTACTGTTGCTGTATCTGTTGCTGTGATACATTTTTAAAATACAAATTATACTTGGATACATCATCGGTAAACATATTCTCTTCCTAGCGGAGTAGCCTTGACAACATCTTTTGTTATTGTTTTGATTGAGAGACCCCTGGCGGCTGAATTTACATAGTGCCTGTTTAACTTCATTCAACGTGACTTACTGGTATTTTTACATCAAAACGTTGTGTTTTGGCATTACTGATGAATGTCATCCCAAATAAAAAAGCCCCAATATTAAACCAATCAAAAGAAGTACTACATATTAAAATTGACTTAATTCTTGATCTCAGTGACGATTGTTTCTTCTTGCAACTCTACTTGTTCTTGTTTATCAGATTTCCGACTCGCTGCATGAATTTTCCCAGTTTGTTTTCAGAACCACTTTGTGTCTGATCCCCTGATAAGTTAGAGTCAGGTCTGTTCATGGAGGAGCCTTTGTCTTTCTCTGAGGAGTGCATGGATTTATCCCGAGGAATACTTTCAGTGCTGAGCAAATATTCAAATCGACTGTAGACTTTCTCTCTCCGATAGACAGTCGCTCCCTCCTTGTCCGGAGTGCTACTCCTGCCATGGTCCTGATCTGCTGCATGGCTTGTCTTTCTCTTGCTTGAACGGTGAGGAGATAACCTCGGAAATGGAGATTTAGGCTTCTCCACTTCACCACTGTCGGAGCTCTGAGACCTTAAGGTGCTTGGCGATTGACCCTTCTTTGTAGATTTCTCTTCTGAAGATGCCTGCAAATGGTCAGATCTAACTGACTGGTTCGACCCTGAGGTATTCTGTGATCTCAATGACGCCTTTCTTTGGAGTGATTTCTCCTCTTTTTTGGAGACTTTCTTATCGTCTGGTGTAAGCAGTGATTGTACTTTCTTTCTCAAGGAATTCTTCCTATGAAGGCTGTGTTCCTCGTGTTTTGTTTGAGTTGTGGGACTACTCTTACGAAGGCTGTGTTCCTCGTGTTTTGTTTGAGTTGTGGGACTACTCTTACCGTCTATTGTAAGCTGAGATCCTGAAGAAGTGCTTGAGTTCTTTGCCTCACTGGATATTGATTTGTTTGCTTCTTTAGGAGTAACTGATTCTGAGCTTTTTCGCACCTTACCTATAGAACCAAGACTTCCTCCAGGCAGATCTTGATGCTGTGGATCTGAAGGTAAGCTTGATCTCATTGAGTTCTCCTTTGGAACAGCTTTGTCCTCAATGGGAATCTCCTCATTTCCTTCTTTGAATGCAGAGTCTGAACTGTTGACATGGGAATTCGAACCCTCTTTCTCTTCAGGGATTTCAGTCAAAGACTCCATAGCTCTTGGGTGCTGGAGGCTGAGACCACTAGGCTGCAAATGAGAAAGCTTAAGAGATGGATCATTTTGTTTCACCTCTATATTTGCAGCCGAGGTTGTCCTTGAAAGAGGCTCACGCCAATCATATGTCTGCATTGTCCTTCGATCTGTAACCATTTTGACATCATTGTGAGAGGCAGAGCGGTGGCCATCAGTGAGAATTTGCTCCCTTTTGTCGCCTTCTGTCTTTGGCTCACTGTCTTTGTGGTTGGGTGGTTCAAGGCTCCAACCGTTTTGTGGATTTGGCTCTAATTCTGACATACTCTGCCTCATGTCCAGACCTCTTAACGAAGTCATCAGTTTAGGCCTGTCCAGAGTCGGATACATAGACCTCAATGACTCTTGACTCTGCCTGAGATTGGTGTATTCCTGCAAGCTAAGTCTTTTATTTCTCATTTCCTCCATCCTGGACTTGATGTCCCTGGACCTGCTGTGAATCATTTGTGACTGATAATCATTCAAGCCTGTATGACTGCTATATGGAGATGTCATTGGGGATATTGCATCACATGATGCATCTAGCGGCATATCACTGTTGTTGAGGTATGTGTCCATCTTCCACCTGTTGAGGGATGTTTCAGAGTTGAATGGTAGCAGATTCTGGTCTGCTCCATAATGAGTCCGGTGCCTAAGATGCTGCTGAGACAGCCTGTTAGTTAGCAGCGGGTCACCACCCACCCTCAGATTAGATCCAGTCCTCTCTGTAGCAAGAGGGACTCCAAAGTCTTTGGTCCCCATCCTCAGCCGAGTCATGGAGTGTAGATTCTGAAGTTCTCCTCCATAACTGTGTCCTCGTACCAGATTCCCCATTTCAGCACAATGAGATTGATGCAGTCTGTCCTGCATGCTCAGTCCCCTGGTCAGCATGGCGGCATTGTTAAACCTGTCATCCTGAGCACCTCTCATACCGTGCATCACTCTGGATCTCATGTGAATCTGGTTGACGGACAGTTGACTGCAGTTTGAACTTTTCATTGCCACAATATCTCTCAGGTACTGGATGGATAACTTGTTGCTGGACTCCGCTACAGGAACTGTGGAGCGAGCGTAAAGCCTTCGAAACTCCTCGTCATAAGTACAAACCAGCTGACCTGTGACAACCATGACCATGCTAAGGTTGATCTTCTCAAATGTCCATGTGTAGCTGAAAAATAAATTAAAAGAAGTACATTCAGATAGGATGATTATTATTATTATTATTATTATTATGATGGATAGATTTTTAGAGTAACAAATAAAATTAAGCAAATCTTATATGTCTAAAATCTTTTGAGACTTTATCTGGATTAGGGCCTCTGATTTCTGATCTGATTTACACTGCTCTAGGTCCCTTCATCTTTCTTAAGCTTCTCAGCCATATCGCACTTAGGTACAGTTGTCCTCTGACTTTACCCATTAACCCTTTCTACCTTTGTCTTATTCCCTTTCAGTTCGAATATACCAGCCCCTTTGCCATGGTTAGTTGCCAAATTGTCAATGTGGCTTTGTGCCTTTGATTTCCAGTAAACTGACCTCAACTTGAATCTGTACCCACATATTAATTTCCCTTTTTTATGGCTCTGGCCCTGACCTTTGGATTTTATTTTGCATTTGCGAACTTTCTCATATAGCCTACTGTATATCTATCTATATACAGTATATATACATATATATACATATATATATATATATATATATATACTGCACATATATTTGAACAGTTCCTGTGTCCTAGTTATCCGCATTTGGGTTCTTTTCCTCGTTGTCTTGATCGTTTAATTGCTCAGAACTAAACAAGTACCTGATCAGGCCAGAAAGGTGGACTTGGAAACAAAGGTACAATTAGCTTCTATTAAAATTGTACCAAACCGCATTCACCGCATTCACCGCATTCACCACATTCACACCTTGGATTTGCCCCTGGCTGATATTTCATTATGGTGCTTCCCTTTAGATGTGGTTTGGCTTATATTACCATATTTTGATGACATTATGTTCTGCATGCAAGCATTCTCTTGACTTGTTTATTTTTTTTTATCTCATTGCCCTTATGTTTAAGCAGTATAATGTTTTGTTTGAAATCACTTTACTTTTTCAAATTGCATAGTTGTCTGTATTTGGGTCCCTTTACCAGCTTTATAAATCATAGGCCTGTCTATCATATCCAGTATATCTTGATACTGATTGTACATGAATGACAGGTGTCATTTGGGTTCAGTATGACAACAGTTTCCTGCATGTTGGATTTTCTTCTGTTTACTATTTTTAACTATTGAAACATTCCAGGACAAGAAATAAAAGTCACCATTCATTTAAAAAAAATCTTCCTCAAATCTTGGCTCGTTTTAGTTTAATTGTTGGGTGAAAGGTGTGATTGGGAAAAGGTAAAACTGACTCACCTGAACGTTCCATACACCACTGTTCTACAGTCCACTAGCAAAAACTTTTGCTCCAAACCTCCATGGAACTTCACTCCAGACTGACACTGATACTGCTGCCCCTGAACCGTTCGAACACGAATGTTCTGATGGAGAAACCATAAAAAGGATTCACAAAGTTAAAGCTAGAAAAAGAAGCCAATGAAAGGGGAGGGGGAAGTAATGTCTTTGAATTGTGTTGATATTCCCATTCAAAACAGTAAATGTATATCAATCAAACAAGAAAAACCCTATTTTTTGACCATTGGGGCCACTGCCATTTTTACTTATTTTTTCATTTGTCCCTGTTTGTAAATTTCCAGACCGCTTGTCTTTGTTACTGCAGGACAGAACATTTACCTTTAACAGTAAGCAACATTAGGAAAGGGAAGTAGGGATTTAAGACAGTATAACTAGTGTTTTCTATTTCCATGATAATAGAAGCTTCAATGCACACAAATGTGCTTACCCTTTGTGATACCCAACAAGATCAAACCTGTATATCTCTATTTCTGGGGCATGTTTTTTGATGTGGCTACTGGCTAAGCAATTCAAACAGACATCACACAGCCGTCACAGTGTGCTCCGACTACTTGTTGTTTGAGCTGACAAAACGTCGTCCTGATGCTGTTCAACAGGAAAATCCAGACACGCCAACAGGTCTGGCCTACGGCTGCAGCAGCTGCCTCATATCATTGTAATGACAGGTAGAAACTCAGCAGGGGAATGCTGATAAATGACAGCGAGCTCAAGAGGGTGTGGAGCAAATGTCAGGCTTAATCCACTAAATGCTTCTGCCAATAGAAGAAAGGTCATGCCACAGGCAAAACATCCTCAGGCAGAATACAAACTACAAAAATGACCCCCCCCCCAAAAAAAAAAAAAAATGTCAGAAACCATCTTTTTTATGCACAAATTAAAATGAACAAGAGGAAAGATGTAGTCATAAGTTGACATAAATATTTCTCAGTCTGTTCACACTTTGATGACTCGGATAATGTAATGAACAAGGAGTGTAGTCAGCCACATTGTACATTTGACATGTATGTATTTAAGAGCCAAATTAACATTGAGAGATGACGTGTTCACTTCAAATTTCCATTACATGTAGTGCTTTCGTAAAAAACACATGTACATCCATATGAAAAAACATGAATTTGCATTGTTTACACTTTTTTACTATCTAGCAGTCTGTTTCTTTTCCCTGGTCTTTGTTGGTGCATTGCAGCACCTGTTGTGAAAATCATTGGTGGATTACCACACACAAAAGACAGATGTGTATGTCCTTAAAACAGACAAAAAGTCCTTTAAGTATAACTTTAAGAGGGAGGATTTGCTTATAACAGGGGTTGTTGGTGCACTTTACGGGAAGCCTAAGGTGTTTTAAGGCTTTTTAATCAATGTGTTATTAAATTATTATACTTACCTTGTGTCTGTTTGGTCCAACATAAACTTAAGATGCTGATTTGTTTTTACTTTTCTGGCGCATACTGTAACCAAGCATTACCAGGCTGCTTCAATAACAAAAATCAGTCAGGAAACCGATGGTTAATTTTTTCATAATCCAGAGAGGGTAGCGATGGGTGCAGACCAACATGCATCTATATGCTTACTAATCAGAGCAATAAAGATTTCTTGTAGAGGCTTGCTGGTAAGCTAGGTCGCTAGTTCATTAGCATAGCATGATTCAGTAACAGTATTTTGAATGTATTTGTAACAAACACTACTCCTTGGTTTAATTTGAGGCTTCTTGTCCTGTCATCCCAAATACAGGTATAGTTTAGACAAAAGTATGTAGCTTATTATTTTAAAGCTTCAAACCTTTGTGCTTTGTTTCTATTTGTCTTAAAGGGGACATATTATGAAAAATCTTGCAACACAGAGAAAAATGCTCCGTTTCAAATTTGCTCTCCTTGTGACATCACAGTGGGATTCTGGTAAAAAAAAAAACCCTCCCCTCCCCTCCCCTGGTATCTCCACCCTTGGACTCCACCCCCAGACTAGAGCAAAACTTTTGTGCAGGTCTGACATTTTTGTTCTTGCTAGAGAAGGAGTGATGTCTACTGACATACACATAGAGACACACACACAAAACGCAACGCTCTGAGAGAGCTGGTTTATACAGGGTCACAAACCTCCTCTAGTGCTTGATTCATGTTATATTTTGACTGAAACACAGCTTTCATTTAGACCACATGGGACTGTGGAGGTGGAAAATGAGTATAATATGTCCTCTTTAACACATGATCATTATGTTCTCAAATTAAAAAGAGAAAAGTAGTGTTCTGGTTTTCCGAACATTTGGTGATACAACCTTTTCACCCTACAATTTACAGATCTCATGTTTTAGGCTTTTTGTCAGAGAGTGTTCGCCTCACCTTGAAGTCCTGGAGGTTGATGCCCACTCTGAGGGACATGGTGAGGAAGCTCTTGAATTGTGAATCATCCAGAAGGATGTAGACTGCCACTCCCCTCAATGTGGCTGTGATTATCTCTTTGAATATATCCACGTCAGTGAAGACATCCATCGCTATGGCAATAACCTGGAGGCATATTCAACATTTACAAAGAATTTGAATACAATAAAAAAACAACATTTACTCAGCATCACCAAAGGATTTCTTGAGGATGTATGAGAATAAAGAGTAAGAACAGAAGCTGTTTAAATGGCATGTAACTGTATTCTACAAAGGTTCCTTAAAGTATCAGATCAAAGCATTGATAAACCAACAACTACCATATTCTTTGAGGAAGAATCCCTTTAAAATAAAATAGTTGCTAATATTCCAACATTGTGAATGGATGAATGAATACGTCTTGATTTATGGGGATCTTTCCATGCACAAAATATACAAATATCCCTGAAGTTTACCCTCTTTAATAGCTAGATTTAAAGTCACATTTTCTGGCCTGATAAAAAAATCAGATCAAGCACATCAGAGCATATTGTAATTGATGTAGGATCTGTAACTTGTGATCAAAGTGGCTCTCTTAGGTAATAAAGCTCGACTGCTATCATGCTTAGAGGCATTGAAGATTTATAGCTTTGATCTTAATAGTGATCAGTGGGAGTTTATATGTTCCAGGTACATTAATACAACAGGTTTTACAGTTGGTGAGTACATTGAACATTGCATATGAAACAGATATAGTTTGTGCAGTTCTTCAGTCATTTTTAGATCTGTAGAACAAACGTCCAGTTCCTACACATGTAGACACAGAAACACACCCTGCTGTAATTTGTGAATTATTAGTTACAGGAGACGGTAAATCCTGGAGCTGAACACGAAGATTCAGGCTGAGACATGTTGGCTGTTTAATGTCATGATCTAACAGTGAAACACGACCTTCATGCTCTCCTTTCCACAGAACTAATTTAATACTCAGCAAACTTACTCTTTGTCTCTGTGAAGCTGAGCACAGTGTGTGTGTGTGTTTGTAGAGTAATATTTTGTTTTTATATAGTGTTGCATATTGATCATACTGTGGCCATATATATTCTTGTTCATTGAGTAACGAGTAACGGTTTGCCTCAGGTGCTCAGTTTTCTCAGAAAAGTAAAGTAGCTGAACAGTCGTGTGTGTTTCATTGTTCAAAGATCACCTTCTCTTAACGTTTACATTGTTTATGAATAAATGGCATCTGATATAATAATATAAGGAGGAATATATTCCTGCAAAATCCTGCTGTCTGAAAAAGATTTATAAAAATGTAATACTTGGCTTGTTTTTATTAATGAAGCATAAAACTGCTTTGTCAGCATTGTCTCTCTTTTTTTACTACAGCTGTTCTCCCAATCTTTTATTTTGTGCGAAGTTTGTCTCTCATCTTGTCACACATTGGCTATTGTCTGATGGCGTATATAGATAAATTTATGACTCCCAGCTGAGACTTCCTTTTCCATATGCTGCATTGTCCAATTAGCAGCTTGAGAAGAAACCATGTCTTCCGATCAAAATTGATGCAAAATTTGCCCCTCCAGATATATCTGCAAAATAAACCATTTCTTAATGTGATGATTGTGTTGCGAATACAACTTCTAAGCTATACAGTAGTCTCACTGTTGTTATTTTTAACTTAAGTTGTTTTATGCGTTTTATCAAACACTGTTCACTCACTTTCAGAAATGTGTCCATCAACATTAGACAAAGACAAACTCTTTCAACTTCCAAAGTTGTTTGATTTGTTTTGTTTTTTTCAGGTTTGACAGTTTTAAACCTAAACAGAATTATCAAAATAAGGGATTATCTTTTTATTCCCATGGATGAGCTACAGTGACACATTTGTGTCTGCTGATGGCTGCACATGTGCTCACATGAAGACTGAGTCAGAAGAAATGCATCTGTTCAACTTTTGTGATTTGTTTCTGCAAGTTTTACTTGAATGAAGCAGCCTCAATAACCACATCATCTACTTATTTTTCAAGAACTTTCTGGTCACTTAGTTGCAACAAGTTCCACAAAAACTCTTAACATTTGATTTCTCATCATGACAGACTTAACAAAATGTATTATTAAAACTAGAGACGAACTCGTTAATGTTAATAAGTAGTGCAAAGTGGAAAATTCTGCCGAAATGGTCTGAGACGTTCATGTAAGGGTTTAGGCACCTTCTACAAATTTCAAGAACAATTGAAAGCTTGAAAAATATAGAATTTTCCTGGTAAATGGACTTGAGCTTGTCAATTTACCATTTTACTTTTCTAGTCTTCTGACTACTGAAAGCGATTTCACACCAAAGGTCACACCAAAGGTCACACCTACACACCCACTCACACACTGATGGCAGTGGTTTCTATGTGAAAGTGACCATCGGAAGTACCTGGCTGCATTATGGCCCATTCATACACATTTATACGCTGCCGCCGAAGCAGCGGGAGCAACTTGGGGTTCAGAGTCTCAAGGACAAGTCGGACATGTAGCTGCAGGAGCTGGGGATCAAATCCCCGACGTTTCGGTTAGAAGATGACCGACTTTACCAACTGAAACACATCCGCCCATTCACAAATCAGCCTTTTAGCCAGAAGTTTACTGGGAGCCTGCAGGAAACTTTCCAGATAAAGTGGGGGTGAATGGATTATTCCATTTGCATTCACAACTGCAAATGGCCAAATTTCTGAAAAACTCTACATTATTTGAATCCTTTGCAACAGAAGTGAATTGAATTGAAACTTTCTGCAGCAAACAAAACTATGTCAAGCTAAAAATCCTGTCAAAAGGTTTTGTAGTCTGTCCCCTTAAAGGACAGAACCACTTGTAAACCAATTGTATGGTACTTACCGGTACTTCACCAGAATTGAGGGATTCAAAGTTCTGTGATTAACACCTTGAGGAGATTAATTAATAGTTTCCTGTAATAGATACTGACTGCATGAAACATTGTGTGCTTTGTGTGCAGAGAAATATGTGGAGTGATTTGTGTTTTCCTTTGTGCAAAGCAACGCCTATCATTGTGTGATTGATTGCTATTGTTCTTCAGTATTGAATTATGTGTGTGGCAAATACAGGGTGATGAGTCGTTGCACATGAATTGTCCAGACAGAGGTGTTTCATTCATGTTTATGTTCCTCACCTGCCTCGCCTCCTGGATCTGTTTGCGCACCACTTCTTTAATGCTCGGCGTATTGTCGCGGGGTGGGTGGAACAGCAGGCTGATGCTGGTGTCCACACCCTCCAATGACACCTCCGGCCAGCCCAGGTCCAGGTCGGGCACCTCATCATCTGACTCTGTTGGGAAGTATGTCGAGGTCCTGGTCTCACACCTGTCTGTGAGCCGTTTTTCTTGAGAGTCCTCCTCCTTGTCCTCAACGGCACAAAGTTCTCCATTTTGCAGTATAAATAAGATCTCCTCGTTTGACAGAAAGTGGCTGATCTGCTCTGCCCTGAGGAACTCCTCGTAGGCCTCTTTACCCCCGCAGATCAGTGCGTAAATTGCCAGCCGGTATGTCTCTTTGTAATGTGGCTGCACATAAACAGTACTGTCCTCTTCTTCGAGAGAAGACAGGCAGGACAGATTGGACATGATGTCAGACCTCTGCTTCACCTTTGGAGGGAAAAAGTTTGACTGTTAACTTAAATAAACACTAAAAAGAAGCACTTGTTTATACATGATAAGTGACAAAAACCTGTCCATCAGGTGTGATGCAGTGTTGGAGACAGGCGAGCTTCACTTTGAACAGCTTGTTGATACACAAAAATCAATCAATTATGTTTTAGTTGTAAAGCCCCAAATGACATAAAACAGTTATCTTATGACACCTTACACAAAGGTATGTCTCTGCCATTCTCTCTTTTTATTTTATTGACTGAGACACAATGATCCACCTTGAGCAACAATGGCAACAGTCAGAGGCGATGAAAAAAACTTTCCTGAAAAAGGCAGAAACTGCGAGCAGAACCAAACTCATTTGTGGACAGCCATCTGCCTTTGCAGTTAAGTAGAGTATTACATTTGATTTGACACTCTTAGGTCTAACTTGTAAAGTTCAAGTACTAAAATTACAAACACTTGTACAGCCTTTAGAGAAAATCCAAAGAGATTAGGTTGAATGTTTCCTTTGCTGTTTTAGTTGTTGTTAAATAAGACATTTTCAAGGTTTCCTGCAAAAATATGCAGCAGGGGCATTATACCCACATTAAGTAGATGCAGGGAAATAAAAAATCAGCAGCAAGAAAAAGAAGACAGGCCTTCACACTTTCTCATGCCACAAAAAGTCACAATGAATGATCAATTAATCTTTGTCAGTTTATCATTTAATGTGTTTTATTTGTGCGCAAAAAATGATCACCTGACAAAGACCATTTGATTGCACCGTTGTCATTATCAAACGTGGCAATATGTTGAGTTTTCTTCCTACTGCCAAACATATACTGGTGTGAAGCCCTGATTGGATTATTCTGTTTGGGACAGGTTAAAGTCTCAATAAGATAAGTCAATTAGTCAAAGGTCAAAGGTATTGATTTTTGCCCATAAGTAACACATGCTCAGAGGAGTTCTATATTTCTGGGGGAGTTTTCTGGCTGTAATTTAAGTGCAATTCCTCCACATGGACTTTTGGTTTATGTAGGCAGGTGGCTTAACCAAAGCTCATATCCTTTGCACTTTCCAATGTGTGGTTATGTACTTTACTTTTTGTGTTATGTATGATTTTAAGACCACTATTTATAAGTAGGCAAGTCTTACTGGTTTGGGTTGGTGAACAGTCACTTTAAGCATGCTTTTTGTAATTTTGTAAATATATATTAGAACTCACATTTGTATTTATTTGATCTTTACAGTGCTTTGTTGTGCAGTACATCAAGTTCAGCTTTGTAGGAATGATACTATAAAATAATAAATGAAATGTATTGTACAAGACTGTGCTAGGTTCTAATTGGCTGTAGTTATTGAAACACAGATTTTTCTCTCAGGTAGTTGTTGTTCAACGTGTTAACAGTGTGCAGTCATTGGTGGGTGTAACAGCTGTGCTTTTTAAGGTAACTTCCCCAACACTTGTGATCCACCACAATCAACACTAAATGCTACAACACAAGTTTTGTCCTCTTTCACAAATAACAGTAAAAGATCTTAAACAGACTTACCTCATGACGTTTTCCTCTGAAAGCACAACAACAAAGTGGAGCCCTGCAGTCTGTCTCAGTAAACCAGCAGCACTAAGGTGTGGATTTGAAACTGCCCTGCCTGTGCAAACTAATACCTTGTCGTACCTGCCCTGTCGGCTCCACTTACAGTAACAAGCCCCGCCCACCTCAGCTCACAGGTGTTTCAGGCCAGGAGCAGGTTTTGTTTTTCCTGTTTGAGCCTGAGTTTAAATCAGCTGGGGAATACTTTTCTGCTTTAAATCTTTGCTGTCGTAGATTTCCAATCTTATTTGCCTCTTGTGTCTGTTACATCTTGAATCTTTGTCTGTTATATGTAATGATATGTTGTCATTTCTGCCACAGGAGTTATTTATTGATGGGGTGATGAAGATGATGAAGCAGTGATAACTCTCAAAAGACAACAGGAGGAGGTTGATACAGTTTATTGCCATCTCAAAGCATTTGGGTACACAAAAAAAGAGACAGAACCTTGTGGCATAGAGACCAGAGTAGAAGTGATTTGTTTTCAATCTTCAGATGTTGAAAGCCATCCCAGACAAAACGAAGCTGTTCATTAAAGGAGAACTAAACCAACCTAGAGAGAAAACAAAAGTAATCTGATATCATGTGTTATCCTGGTGTTGATGACTTAACCCACGCTCTGTGCCTCACAGCTCCCCGGTCATCCAGCTTAAGAAGAATCATTCTGATTTATAAGAGCTTTGGTCTACATTATATCGTTTTTTGGTTGCCACTTTCACTGGTTGTTATAACTTTATAATCAATCAAATCTGAGAGAATAGTAACATCTCTTGAATAAATAAAGAATCACAACCATGTTTTTAAGCAACCCCAATCCTGCCAACTTCACTAAAAATAACAACGGGTGGTAAGATAATGATCACACCTCACAGTCAATAAAATCCTTGGTTATAGAGGAAACTGTGCATATGTAAAAGCTTAATGAAATAAAGCTCTGGAGGTAATCTGGAGGTTTTTATTTTGGCTCTTATTTTTCTCTTTCAGTAAAGCCACTTACAAAAATGAAACAGTGAGAATTAGACCCATGTTGTTTTAAACCAGTATCATCCTCTAACATCCAAAAGTAATGAATACAGGCATTCCACCTTAAGGTGGAAGGTGCAGCGCTTCAAACATTTAACATAAACATCTACCCTGGCCTTTTATACTTCTCTGTTTCTGCTTTTTCCCCTCATAGAGACCAGTTGAATGATTTAACCATACAGGACATCTACTGAATGTTTGCAGCTGCTGTAAAAGTCCCTCTAATGTTTGTTTTATTTCCTGCAGCTAGCTCACATAGAGGGACTTTACAGCAGCTTCCTCTACAGAAACTTTAAATGAACAGCTCTCGGTTTCACACTCATGCTAACAGAAAACCCCTGGCAACCACCATTTACTTTCTGGGTGGGGTCGGGGACTTCATGAATCTGGGTGGGGTTGGCGACTTGACACCGCGAGATGGAGTCGGGGTTGGAGACTTGGGGGTCGGGGTTGGAGATTTCGGGACGGGAGTAGAAGCAGGGGTGGAGGCTGGAGTTGGGCTCTTCATGGACATCGGGGTCTGGGACTTGGAGGGGGTGGGAGTGGGGGTCTTGGAGGGGGGAGCTGGGGACCTGGGCGGCACAGGCGTGGATGCAGGCGTGGCAGCAGGTGTTTTGGGTTGTCCTACTTTGGCCACTGGGATCTGCTCGCCATGCCGGTACACGCTGACGGTGATCTCGACGAACTCGCCGCCGTACTTGTTCCGCACGTTGATGCTGTACTTGCCCGAGTCGTCGGGAGTGACTTTGTTGATGACAAGGCTGGCAAACTTGCCACCGTCGAACATGACCCTAGTGTGCTCGTTGGAGGCGACCTCCTGCTCATTCTTGAACCAGGTGACCTCAGGTGTCGGCTCGCCCCACACGGTACAGGTCAGGCTCAGAGACTGGAGAGGGCAAGAGTCAACTAAAGTCAACATTTGTCCTATTTTGCTTAAATATGGAACAACATTTTTTTCTTAAAGGGACATTTTGAAAAGCATTACATTTTAACTACAGCTACAATCCCATTCAGAATGAAGAAGTGAATTTCTCTGCAGGAAAAACTTCTCATCAGAATTATCTTTGCAATCACAATAAATGTGTGGTGATAGCAACATCAGCAAAATGCCATGGACTAAAGATTAGGGATGTCCTCGGTTAGCCCATTAAATGATTAAATACAGCACCAGGATTACTAGTTGGTTAAATTATTAATATTTTGATCAATTCAGGCCCGCAATGTCGGTGCTTAATGTCGGTCAAATGCAGCCATCAGCTGGGGCTGAAGCTCTGGTTAATGGCCGCGGCCATAATGCTGCTTAGACATAAACAAGCACAGTGAACCGATAGCATCTCATAGGAGCAGCACGGTTTGTTGTATTTGATCTAGAAAATGGAGATCTACTTGTATGCGTGCTGTGTCAGGTTAAACTTCATAGACCCATTAAAGTGAAGTCGTGCTTAACCAGTGCAGGCATGTGGACATCAACGTGGGAGGAGGACCAAATTTACATTGTTTACCTGCAGATACTGTGATCCCTTGTTTAGATGCGTAAGATACATTTTGCTGGATTGTTTTCTTACCTTTAGACTTGTCAACTAGTCTGGATTGAAATAGTCTTAAAACAGAATTTTAAATAAGTTGTAGGAATGTCCCTAATAAAAATAAGTAAGCCAAAAATTGCAATACTCTTAACCCTCAAAGCTTTTTCTTTTGTTTTGACATTTTGTTCTGGTTCAAAGGAATGCTGTCAGGGCTGTACAGCTCCTCCAAACCTCCTGACTACTTCTTACTTATATCAACTTAAAAAACACCTTTTACTGATATTATTTATACAGTTTATAGCCTTCCCTCTAATTAAAGTGGCACTGTGCCTTTGTGTAATGTAAATATGTTTATTTTCATGTGCATTTATTTGAGTTGTTTTGAGCCTTCAAGCTTTATTCCTTGTATAAAATGTGCTTTCTAAAGAAAGGGTAACATTATAATTGTTATTGTTTGTTTAAAGTATTAAAAGTGACATAATGTTGATACTGTTTAAGGTGAACAGTGTGACACCTCCTCACCTTCTCTTCCATTATAGTGACGACGTCAGGCAGACCACCGACAACTCTGCCACGGTCTGAGGAAAGAAAAGAAAACCTTAAGTTACTCCTGTTCTCATTACATAGAAAGAAAATCAGTTTCTCTACTTTACTGAAGAATATCACGTTGTTTGCACAGTGAGATGATGTAAGACCTTTTACAGGGCTGAGATATTCAGAAGGAGATTGAGGAGGAATGTGAAGTCTTTGAACTTTCCGACGAGAACTTTGATGTACACTTTGCCTTGAGAGCAAACTTGCCTTTGAATGTTCAGAATGTCGCCAGAGAGGTCTCTGAAAACATCTTTGT